AAATTGATTGCTAACCAACAGAATTCTACATTGAACATGATTATATGAGACAGAATTCAAGGGCTCCTAAAGGGAATAAAATGGGACATTGTAACTTGTACGTGGCAGCAACAACTGCAGTGGAAATTTTTGAAATGTAGTCAACTGACATTAATAAAATAATAATATCAGCCAAATCATATTTACTAATGGAGGGAACTATATTCGTTGTTCAAAGACAGTTATAGTGTTAAAATGAAGTAATGCGAGGAGACAGAAGAAAGAATAACTGAAACCATGTTCCTCCGTTCCCATACCATATACACGATGTAATGAAAACAAATGCTCTTGCAAAAGCATATAAAACAACGACAAAAACAAAGTTTTTTTTTTTTAACGCTCACTCACTTCAGTCGAGACCCCATTCATTTTCAAGCTCTCGACAATCTTCTGCAATTCTCTGTTGCCTAAGCCGAGTTCTACCCAGACGCTTGTTCCAACCAACCTCTGGCTGACTACGTCAGTGTCCTTCTGCAGCCAAACAAAAAGCCCTCCGACTCCGAACCGGCGTCTGAACTTAGCGAAAGCCTTCTCCAATTCAATCACGTACGATCAACCTCCTCCCAGTTCTTGCGCATGATTGAACCCGCCAAGTACGCGATTGCCCAGCCCACTCGTAAACCTTCAACCTTTCGGGCCCGGCACTTCCCGAACCCAATCTCTGGTTCTTCATGAACCCAAAGCCGCATAATCTAGATAATCCCGTCTAGTACCGCAGATCCCGCCTGCTACGGAAGCTCCAACCCATCCCACTCATGAACAGTACCTGTGACACCCTTCGCCTACATGACCCGCCCGCTTGCGTGAATTGTGTGAGCCAGCCCTGTCCGATCACATGCTAAAGCCCCTTCCTTCCATCTGTTTGAAATATTAAGAAAGAAGAGTGTTTTACTCTATTTCATTACTAATATTACTAATAATAATTATTTTAATTAATAATATTATTAATAATTAATAATAATAGTTATTAGTATTATTATTAATAAAAGAGGAAGAAGATGTGATCGTCAATCAGAGGAATCACGGGGTTGATTCGATCCCCCAAAGCCCTCGGTCGTCGAACTAATCCGGTCGAGTGAATTGAAGGCTCGAAGACCAATCCCGGGGTCGATTCTTAAAGCTGGAAAGAGTAAAGCTAACTACTGCTGCAAAAGCAAGTATTGAAAGAAAAATATGATATTGTAGCAGAACGCCAGTGTTGGGCTAGTAAACACTTGAAAACTACAGTCTAGTATCAATCTAGCAAACAACTACAAACTAGAGCATCTACAAGTATAGTCCAACCTACCCTAAACAAACACACATGCAACTTCCAAAAGGAAGCCATAAGACATATCCAAATACAATAACATATAGCTTAGCCTATAGGAGTTAGTTGTAAGACCTACCAACCGACAGCTTCCAATAGAAGCCATAAGTCCGATATCTATGGGAAATATCTAGATAGCAACCTAACCCTAGACCCTTCTACGGGCCACTTTTAATAAAAGTTGTAAGTCCTATCACAATTAGGGTGTTGGGGAAAACTTTCCCAGAACAAACTAAATGCTACGGGCCACCTTTAATAGAGGTCGTAAGACTCGTCACTTGGGCTACTTCCAAAGTGAAGTAGTAAGACCCACTTTTAAGCCATACTTGGGAAAACTCCAATAGAGGTCAAAAGACTGGCTATTCAAGCTACTTCCAAATGAAGTCGTAAAACTCACTACACGGGCTACTTCCAAGCGAGGTCATAAAACCCAACCCAAACCCAAACTAAAGGCAACTTCTAAACGGGGTTGTAAAACCTAACCTAAATATAAACTATGGGCAACTCTTAAGTAGAGCCACAAGTCCCAACCCAAACTATAATAAGATTAAAATCCACATTTATCCACTTCAGTTTACTCGAGATTCCTAAGAGGAGGAAACTCATAACTGCTCATCAGATTCCCTAAACACCACAATCAATGGTTGAGTGTTGGTAGACTGAAGCTCACAATATACCTGGAACGACGGAACCATGGGATCTTGATCGAGTATGCCTTCATCCCCCATAACTAAGACTGAAATACATACCCATTTCTACACTTTTTGCATAATTAAATATCCTTTCATCCTTAATCAAGAGTGCACTTCTACGCGTTAGAAAGGGTAATTAACTATGAGGGATTGCGCTCATAGGAAGTGGAACCTTAGAATTAAATAAACTATGATGTCGCTCATTGGGGGAAATATGGTTAAACAAAAAATTGAATCTACCTCGAGAAAAATGGGACCTTAGGCTTGGAAAAGCGGGATTAGTGTCGTAGCGCGACATTTTAACCCTTTCCTGAAGGTGAACATACATGAAAAGGTTGGAGTTGATCTAGTGGCAGATAAGATTAGAGAGAGTCATCTTAAATGGTTTGGTCACCTAAAATATCGGCCTTCCAATGACCCAGTTAGGAGAGTATATGATGTAGGACTACATGCGAAGTAGGAAGCTTGCACAAAATAGTTAAAGAACCATTTCAGATTTTCGTTATTAGCGATTAAAACAACAAAGTAAAACTAATAAATGGTCACTTCTATTTAGGCAAAGCTACGCGAGAGACTAAACAAAGTCAAAATATTTAAGAAAATTAAAGCAATGCGTACGAAGTAGCTTTCATTACAACCTTGATCTAACAAGATGTCTAAAAGCAAAAAAGTAACAATCCTACGTTACTAGTGGATGGCGATAAGTAGACACAATCCCTTGCTTTGAACAATCTCCCTACGAGATAAGTAGAATGCGGAAGTACACGAGTCAAGGAAGAAGATCACCTTCTCAGAGAAATGTCTTGACACACCACGTACCTTCCGTTAGTTTCTCCTACCTAGCCTTGGTCAAAATGAATAGCAAGTAGTCGGCGGACTCCTCTTTGAATCATGCGAATTGATGTCGTCTTGAAATTGGGAAGAGGTTGGATGACGAGAAGAGACTTCTCTGATGGTGTTGCAGTAAAGAAAAATCCCGTGGAAACGGCTGGACAGCAGTTTGTTCATGCAAACAACAACTATTTGAGCTTCCTGTGCTGGGAACGTGTGAGTAGGGGCGGGGAAATCCTTGGCTGCAGCACTAGCAAGTGGACGGCTCCATGTGGGAGGAGTTGTGGGCAGGTTTTGGTGGAGAAAAACCAATGTACGGGGCTTGGGATAATTCGGCCAGCAGGGAATTATGGTGAGATTAATTCCCAATGTAAAGGAGGTGTTTTTGGAAAGATCTAAGAGGTGATCACCATCATGACGATTTCGGCCAGATTTAGATGAGGGGTATTGAATACTTTCTAAGTGGGGAGATGAGATTTGGAAATAAATCTCTAGGATTTATTTGAGGGTGGGGCCGGCGGCATACCTGAGCTAGGAGGGGGAATTAATGGGTCCATTAATGCTTACTTAATTACTAAATCAAGATTGGAAAGAAATATTTGATCCTCTCTTGATTTAAAATTCAAATAAGGATTAATTCAAAATGTTACCTAAAATAAGACATACAAATATGACAACTATTTGAAATTCAAATTGATTTGAATTAATTCAAATAACGGTTACCAAATTTATGAAGTCTAATTTAGGAAGGAATGAATATCATGTGGAGGCGATGGATGTTGGATGACCGGCGGCTATGGGGTGGTGGTGGAGCTTGGCCGTGGAATTGGAAGGAGGGGGGAATTGGGTGCGAGTGAGAGATTTGGGAAGGGGTTGGGCCGTGGGTTTTGATGAAGGAGGGCTCGGGTGAGGAGATAGTTGGCCGGTGGAGAAGGTGGGAGGGAAGTTCGATTGGGGGGGTGATGATTGCTTGGAGTTGGAGAAGGGTTTGGGCGTAAAGATGTCCGGTGGTGGTGGTGGAAGGAGGAAAGAAAAAGACAAAGATAAAGAAAGACCACGAACCCAGCCGTCTCCAAGGTTGGTGGGTAGTGCGCAAGATTCCCTCTCCTAGGGATCTCTCTCCATCAAACCCTCAAGCTCTCACAAGAGCTCATGCAAGAAGACAAATGCAGGAAAATTTTCTTAATCATTCATTAGCTTCAAAATAACAAGATCAAGGCTATAAATAGCCTCATACAATGACTTAAAGCAAAAAGGACTCAAATAACCTTAATGGGCTATAAGACTCAATCCCTCAAGTAAGGGTAAAAACGGTAAATGCTGAAATAAAAAGATTACATCAATAAGTAGACAATAGAAAAAAAAATCAAAAGTACATCGGGTAAATCATGGCCGTTGATTTACGGCGACATCAACAATAGACTTTCCAACTGATGTCCCCATCAGTATATGTATTATATTTAGCCTATGTTAAGAAATATATAGGTACACCTAAAAAGACTTAGTTATAAAGTGTTAGAAATGACAATTTTATTAGATTTAAATGAGAATTTGACTCTTAATAGGACACAACAGAGAAAAATGATTCATGTAGCCATTAGCCAACTCCACGTAGTGGGAAAAAGGCTTTATGTTGTTGTTGTATCACTTCCTACTCCTCACCCATACGATCTTTATCTTGCAAAAAACTATCAAAACAATGGAAGCATTTTTAGTCTTTCATGAAATTCAAATCAAATATTCCAAAGTGTACTGATAAATGCTACACATATTGGTATTGAATCTATCTTCATTAAGCGGATTTTAGTTTCAAGTGAAGGCGGTGATTGATATGCAGAATAGAATTCTCTGAAGACGAAAAAAGTCCATATTCATAAGACATGACAATATAACCTTAGATAAAATAGCTTGTGTAGATGAGAAGATATTAACAAAAAAACTATAAAAAAAAAGTCACGAAAATCCACCGGAAGATATCAATTTTATCTCTTAAGAAAACAAATGTAACAAGAATGCAATTAGTTTTCAACAGATATAAAACTTAGTATCACCCGACAAGAAAAACTTATTAGTCTGTTAATTTCGATCATGCATATCGACACAAACATAGGTAGAAAAAGGCAACCTACCTCGCCAAGAAATCTCAAATCCATTTCCACTGATGTGTGACGTGCTCCACCATGTCCAAAAATGTAGGAATTCTGACCACAGCTGGGGCATTTGAAGAAGCTCATATTCTCAATCAATCCCAGTACCTATTTGAATAAAGGAAGCATAATGTGATTAGCACCGACTGCATTAGATTATACAATAAACTTTCAAGCAGAGGAAAAGAAAAAGATAAAGCTGGCACATAATTTGTGCAGACAAAGTAAAGATGATTTACCATTAAAATATAATGTTTAATGCATTTCAGATTACGGAAAAAGTTAATCATGTTAAGCACCACAAGTAAAACCTGTTGTATATCAATGAATTCTAGTTGGTTGCCAAGAAATACAACTCAGGCATTAAATTTACAGTACAACATGAATGAAGCAATATATATCAACCTAAAAAACAAAGTTTAGATTAATTAAACATTTAGATAATTAGCCCATATGCTGACCCTCCCTCCCAAACAATTACTTTCGCACCGGTTACTACATCCCCGAGCCATGCAGCCATGTTGTCGAGAATTGTGTGAGACCATGTGATGTAGGACATATATGAAAATTTGATTTCGATAAGGATTTTGCACGCTTATTGAGTAAGAGCTAATTAATTGAAGTTTTATGATGATTCAACAATGAAATAAAACCAAGGAGCGGTAAACACAAGCTTAGGCCAAGTTACTCGCGAAAAGTTAAAACCACATAATAATCAATTACTCTTGACATTGCCAACGACATGGGTTTCAACAAGAAATCCCTACTCTAACAATAAGAGTAGTGCTATGAAAGGTCTCTCACACAACTCCTAATAAATACTAGGCTTTAGCGGGAAGAGTTAACACAATTTTCCATGATTCAATTATATAGCTACAATTGAGAGCGATTAAAAGATAAAAGACTAGGAGAAAATATCACCCAAATAAACACGACAAATCAAAGCTCCGGTGTGGTGTTTATGTGCTTGAGAGGTAGTAGACAGCAGTTCTCAATTCCTAGCCGCCTTAGGACAACAATTTGATGATCTCGGGATGGTGGACAGCAAATTAATCTCGGCTGGCATGTTTGGGAAGCAACCTGAACCTTCCGGGCACATCGGTGATCCTGAGTAGCGGGACAGCTTCCCGACACTGTACAGAAATTCTGGACAGCAATGCTACAGCAATTTTGGCTCTTGGGAAAAGCTGGACAGCAACTTCTAATGCTGATTAAAACCTTGAATGGCTGCTAGATGATGATGGGAACTTTTAGATACTAGTTCAGGAACTCCAATAGTGCAGGACAGTAAGATGAGTCTTCTGATTTGTGTAGACAGCAAGCCAAAAGTTCCAAAACTGGAGGGTAACGTCAGGGATGGCTTGGGAGGGGGCTGGCTGGATTTGGGATTGATGAGGCAGAGCTTGATTTGAGGAAGGATTTTAATTAGAAAAGAGAGATGGGGGGCCTGCCATGTATGGGGAATTAATTGGGGAATTTATGATTCCTTCCAAACTTGGGTTGCTAAAAAGGGGAAAGAGAATTAGAGAGAAATCTCTAATCAATTTCAAATTTGAGAGGATTTGGGAGTTACAAAATATAAATCAATTTCTTTAGGAAAGGATTTCAAATTCAATTTAATTGGAATTTGAAAGTTGAATTCTTTCCAAAGTTAAGATGATTTAAATTAGGAAAATATTTAATTCTTTCCCACATGAGAGGTTTTATTTTGAAAAGCATTAAAGATGTGGGAACTAGGAGGGGCCAGCTGCACTAAGGGTAATTGGGGAGATTTTGTTTATGACTTGCCTCTTTGGGAATTCCAAATCAAGGAGGGGAAATTCGTTCTAATCCGATTCAACTTTGATTTGGATTTTGATTGGATAAGTTTCCTAAAATAGAACTTTATTTCAGGAAACTATTCGAATTTCAAATCTTGATTGGTTGATTGGAACGAAAAATTTCCCAAAATGATTTGTATTGAAAAGGAAAGTAGTAGTGGAGAGATTTGAAATTTGGAGGCAAGAGGGAGATGGGATGGCCGACGGCTAGGTGGAAAGGGGAAGGACTGTTTGTCAGTGGTGGGGCTTGGAGTTGAAGTGGAAGCCGGCCATTTAGGGTTTGGAAAGCCCTACGCCGATAGCAAGGGGAAAGGGAGGATGAAAGAAAGGATAGCGAATAACAAGAAAGGCATGAACCCGAACTCTTCCAAGGTTGGTGGGTGATCCGCTGCCCTCCACCACAGGACTTTTCCAAAACTCTCTCCAAGAACTCTCAAGCTCTCTCAAAACACACAAGTACAGGAAGTTTCATAATATTCATTCATTACCCCTCAAAGAAGAAGAGGGAGACTTTAAATAGCCCATACAATGAGAAAATAACAAGTATTACAATACCCCTAGGGCTTACACATACCTAAGCCCTTAAGGGTAAAAAAGGGAAAAGCATAATAAACTTCATAAAATAAAAATAATACATCAATCATAAATATGAAAATCAAAAGTAACGCGATGTAATCGTGGCCGTAGATCGATGACCACGCCTCAAGTAGATTTTCCATGTCTTGATGTCCTCATCATTCTCCCGGGGTGGGAAAGAGCTCGACTCCGTCGAGTATGCGTCCCAGGTGCTTTCGTAGAACTCTAGTGTGTTTGGGTCGATCTGGTGAAGCTCCTCGCACTTTAACCAAATGTCCTATGACTCGGGCTTGCCTCTCCACCTAATCAAATACCTTTTTCGACCATCCTCTTTTGCAGAAATAATATCATCACTTAAAATCATGCCAACCTTCTCCACTATAGGTATTTTAGAAACATTTGGGAGTGGAGGTAATAATGAGTTCTCACAAGGTGAGGTCACACACCCTTATAGGCAACCAGATCTTCTATGTTAAAGGAGGAATTAATGTCGAATTCTGCAAGCAGATCCATCCCGTAAGCATTGTTGTTGATTCTCTTGATTATTTTGAATGGACCCGCACTTTTTGCATGTAACTTCTTAACAATTCCTGGTGGGAACCATTCCGGACGAATCAGCATCATCACTGAGTCACAAATCTCAAAAGTTTTAAATCTCTATTTAAAATCAACTACAAACTTATAATTAATGTTGCTCTGCTCAATTTTGTGTGCAATTTCCTTATGTAAATCATGCAAATGCAATGCACATGTAGATGCAGACTCAGAAAACATATACCTAAGATACATTTGTATGAGATCTATCGACGGCCTATGCTGCACCGACACAGACACGGTGACACGGACACGACACAACGCGGACACGAACATGTGGGCTCTGAAATTTCGGCCCCGGCCTCCCCGCCGCGCGATTTCTTTTTTTATCTGAGCGAGGGAGTTTTAACGAACTAAGTTCCGGGGTAAATTTTGGAAGGCAGATGAGTTTGTAGATAAGACACTACCCAGAGATTTCGCCCTCATTTTACGAGGACTTTATGATCTGAGTTCTAGTTTCCTATAGGCGCAAGCCCCTATAGTTAATTACCTCTCTCGATCACGAGAGAGAACTTTCCATTAAGGCTAGTCGTCAATCAGATACGTATAGAGATACATGTTATCTGGCATATAGTAGCAACAATGGGTTTGAGAGTTTGGAATTTGGAATAAAGTTTGGATTTGGGGAATTGAAGATTTGATATTTAAAAATAGAAATTTCACCATCTTGCACTTAAAGCGGATGGTGGGGAAATGGATGATGGGCCCGATCAAGATCCCATGGTTTCGTCGTCCCGGGCCATCGTGGTCCCTGGTCTACTTAGTCAGAGCAGGTAGTCGACCCAACTTGACAGAAGGATCCTTGTCGGCACCCATGGGTTGCTTCGTCCAAGGGAACCTTGTAGACCTGGGTTGGATGTTTGTCTAAGGGGACAAATTTGAATTCACCCTAGCTCGCAGAGGGCTTTGTGCCCTATCAATCATATCCTATTGATTCATATCTCAAGGATTTGATGCCAATAAGGAACGTAACGGCGCTGGCCATAACCGGTATTTCGTGGTGCCATTTGGCGGCAAAATCACTCAGTTCAGAGGGCTCCGGGTCATAACCGTTTATCCT